ACTTTTAATCAACGATTTTGTTGTGATGATGAAATTAGAGCAGATCCAAATTAATAATTTGAATGAGAGACAGGAAACTTACTAAGCTATCCAAAATATTGTTATATTTTGTGATAAAAAGGCTATTAAAACTAATTATTAAGAAATGTAAAATTCTTTCTATATGAAAGACGTCTCACCTGATCATTCAAAATTTTTTATATTTTGTCCATTTAAAAAAATGATTTTGATATAATTGATTTATGTAATTGACAGTTATCATCCGAGAAACACAAAATTAAAGCGAATTTGTGTTTTATTCGTTATTTTAACTGCTAAACACTCCAATATTCATCGTCATTCTGCCTTCAAAAGTTATATATTCATTCATTTCTTATCTCTCTTTAATCAAAGGATCAGTTGAGAAACGACCAATCACGGATCAGCTAGATAAGGAACGGGTTTGAAAAATAAATACATTGAACTAACCCGTAAGATAATAATAAGGACCAAAGTCAGGAGAACTTCAGTAGTGCAAAACACTTATTTGATATTCTTTCGCTTTTCAAATATAGAACAATTGATTACAAGTTCAAATCTTTTTCCAATGCATTTTCAAATGTCCTCAATGAGTCTTGCTAGTCAACTCACTTCACTTCAAAGTCATCTTGCCCGATATTATTTGCCACCCATTTTTATTTTTGGCATTTTCGGAAACACGATTACATATTAGTATTTTCTCGAAGAAATCTTCATTTAAATGTTTGTTCTTGGTATTTTCTTTGTTTGTCTTTCTCTCAAATTATTTTTCTTCTGTTCGATGGTCTTAATCGCATTATTACAGTGGGCATTAATAATAATTATGATTTGGCTTCAATGGTATCAGTACTTTGCAAATTTCGCGCCTATAGATTTGTACTCAGCTATGCTCTGATACGACACTTGTTGTGCTTAATCTCATTGGATCGTTGGATAATACTATCAAGCTGGGCGTGGCTTCAGGCACTAAGTTCCCCAACAAATGCTCGATGGTTGATTTCTTTAAGTTTTCTCTTTTGGTTTATCTTTACATTTCATTCGTTTATCGGATATGAGAGCATCCCAAAGATTGGTTGCATACCATCAATATCAGATAGTACTTATCAAATATTTTATTTCTTGTATACTTGCTTTGTGTCTCTTATTACAATCTCAACAATGATCATGTTTAGTCTACTAGAATGTAGTAGTTTGCATAAACGAGGTCGAGCCATTCAGCTGACAAATAGAGCAATTCTTCAAACTCTCAATTGCAGTCAACAAAATTGTTATTCACAACGACAATTCAAAACCAATTTTCAACTCATTCGTTTGTCAATGCTACAAATTGCTGTCTTTCTCATTTTCAATACCATTAAATCACTCTTTCCTCTGTATACATTTTCAACACGTTGGGCAGTCAAAAGTTTTGATCAACGGGCTATTGAGACTTTTTTCATGAATATTGGCCTTTTTCTCGTCAATACCTATGCAGCAGTAAGTATGAGCTTGTATAACTCTATAGTCTTATTTCATTTGACGAAGTATCCATTTAGTACATTAATCATAAGGAATTTTTCAAAAGTCTATCAATTAGAAGTGTCACATTGAAGTTAATTGCATTCTAACTTCTCACGTAATAAATTAAAAAAAGTTAGTGCACTATCTTAACTTGTTGAATTTAAAGACTGCACTCGTACTATCAATATGAATAATCTCTTGATAAGGTACCGAAAAAGCAAAAAAAAAGAAGCAGATTACATTTTATTTGTTATCCAGAGTTCTATTAAGCTTACTCTAAATACATAGGAAGAATACTATATCTAACTTTTTTTAACCGAGTTGTCTTTAAATAGTTTCTATGTTACCTCTCCGACAAGAACAAGCGAAAAACAGTGCGTTTTTCAATACTAAGTCTTGTATATACTACAGTTTTTGTCTACAATTTTGAAATCTACGTTTCTTTAGTTTTCTGTGGGTGCTTGACCAGAAATAACTAAATTTATGTGTATCATCGACTCTAGTAAGTTTCATACTATCAGCAGCGAGTAGATAGGCAAATATGCTAACTCATTTGTAAAACTATCAAACTTTTCCATTTAAACATTAAAGATATGTGTTTTTAATTGGTTCTAATCAACGTATCTTATAGTTGAAAAGAAGAATATTCTCGCTTAAAAATATTGCGTTATTGCTGAGAAAATCATTTTTTCATAACAGTAGAAAAAATAATATGAAAAAGTATCATTTTCTTCGACTTTAGTCATCAAAATCTTTATTTGAACTCGAAATCATATGATATTCGAAATGAGACTAAAAAGCCATGTACAACAGTATGAATTTCAGAAAATCATTTTTCAAACTACATTCGACTTGATCGTGACTCACAGTCTATCTCAAGTCGAATTGTGATGAAAAGTAGTTTTTAATGCAATATGTACTGTTCTACACCAATTTCAGTTCGAATCACAAATATTACATGCATCTGCTGTAAAATGATGTTTTCACGATCGAAATTAGGAAGTATATACATTCTTGACTATAGATACATTGACTTTAATACACCACAGCCAATATTTTATTTCTCAATTAAGAAATTTTCATGAATTTGCAAAAACAGTCAGAAAATCTACCTATTCAGCTGCTTTTTTTTTGAAAATATGAAGGTTCCATTAGTCTAAGAAACTTTCATATTTATTTATTTATCTCTACTCAGTTGTCTTTTGAAGATGAAGACAAAAATAATTATAGAGATATGATTTATTGTTAAAAGTTTCAATAGATTCCATATTTGTTCGCATAAGTGGTTACTAAGGAATATTTCAAAGGTAAGCAGTTTCTAAACAGTTCTATATAATATGTTATTTGTGGATGTGAGCAAACTCTGTTAACTGGAATAACAAATAAAGATGAAAATAGAACACATTTCCTTCTTGCCTTTGAGTATCTTAAAAAGGTATGTAAAAAGTCAGCTTCTTCCGAATAATAGACTCCGTTACACTAATTTTATTCACTTCTCGAACGTACGAATGTGTATCTTACATACAGTGTTACTATCTTTTATGAAAGTCTAGTACGCAACAAATGCATGAGATTATGCAGGTGACACCTTCTAACAAGTAACTATTTAAATAATCATTTCTCAACTATCATTTTTCTTCATTACGATACTTATAAGATGCTTCAATGCTTTATAAAGTCATTTTCATGTAAATTTGCCAAAAAACCAAGTGAAATAAAGTGCCAAGGTTTCAAAATTCAATAGCATTATCATGCCTTTTATCTCGAATGTATTCACATCTTTTAACTATGAATCTCTCGTTTGTATATTTCAACTTACGATCATCTTGTATACATTGGCTTCAAGTAAATTTCGTAAAGAATGCATATCGGCAATCAAGTATGCTTTTGCTTGTATCTATCACACTTGATAAAGCATTCGAATGCCACTAACTTTGGTTTATATAATACAATGTATGCCATCAATACATTAGCTTATTATTATCATCTTTTGTAATGTACTATTCATACTAATAAATAAATAAATAAAAATCTTAATGAAGAACTATAGAAAAAAACAGCAAAATCAAAAATATACAAATATCTATATGATTAGACAGAGTTATGCTGAGTAGTTACTAGAATTCGAAAAGAAAATCAACTCAAACTTGGGAAGTTCGATTTGTTCCGAGTATGTGGCACGTATGAGTTTTCTCAAGTCGTTCAATCAATGGAAACGGAGAATTTCATTTCTTGGGAACGATAAAGTTGCTGAAGAATAATGGTAATCCGTTTATATCAAGGGTAAACATACTCATCTTTATGTTAGTTTAACTTTTTTCCTTTCGGTCGAACCGAAATTATTGGGCTCCTGTGGACACCCGATAGCCATCACATATAACACGTTGTAGACATGATTTATTTAAATGCTGTCAAATGAAAATAGATTCAAATTAAACTAATATACAACAGATTCAAGTGGTTTACAACACATAACTTCAGTCCAAGAAACGAATGATAGCTGTTTATAAAATAGTGGAAAAAACAATAAATATAAATATTTAGAACGAAATGGAAAAAGAAAATGTTCAATTCGGCCGACTAGTGACACTTGAACATATAGAAATAATCGTCGTCTTACTATACAATTACAAGCTTATGTAATGTCATCTATATTTGAACTTGAAGATATTTTATTTCGTGTTTTATCTATATCAACTGAAGTTTAAGAGAAATAATATACAATCTCTATATTCCTATACAGTTTTACTTTTTTTAAAAATTTTTCTTGTGTTAATTTTATTTCTTATTATTTTGATTTTATCGTTTACTTCTATGTGTTATAATTACTTTTTTGGTTTTTCTTTCGTACTGTTTTTTGACCTGTACACATTTTATTTTCTCCTAGAAAACGTACAAAAAATAATAATAATATGAAAACGAGAAGAAAGTACAAAAGAATAATTCATATATTAGTATTATAAATATCATAACTGAGAATAGTAAAATAGAAATTATTTAGTTTAATAAAACAACAATATAATATAGATAATATTAATAGAAGCCATGTTGTATCCTGTAATTCAACTACAAGATACTTGTAACAGAACTAAAAGCAACTCATTTAACCACTCATGGAATAGAAATCTAACTTTTTTGTTATATACTGGAGCATTCACTGTAATCGTAGTAGTAAATAGTCCTTGGAAAAATATATAAGAGGTGTCTCCTTGATTTTCAAATTTACGATGAATAAAAAATCAGCTGTATTGTGGCTCTCTGATAATCTCTGATGAAAAAAAAAATGTTTTCATATTATTTCTTTTGAAATTGAATCAATAAAATCTTCAATAATCGTACAATTTCAAAGTAAAATGTTCACGCTTATGTTTTTGCAAAAAATTTTCTATATTTATAATTAGAAAATTTTTACAGCGTAAAAATAAAATCAATTGTATTTCTTCACGAAACACAACGAAGTTCATTTTGTTGTTCATAATATATTAATCATCCATTTTCGGACGAAATGGTTCTGGTTTAAGATAAGTATCTTGATTTTGTTCATAATCGATGACAATTCTTCGAATAATATCTTTAGGTGTAACAAACCAAACAAAATCTCTATATTCATCTGGAACATTTAATGGTGTATCAGTTCGAAAATCAACATTTTCATAAACATATTTCGGTATGTTATTTGCCATTGATTTAGCTTCTTCGATTGGATCATCGGATGAAGATAAATTTGTAACTAATTGAGGAATATTCGAATTCTATAGGAAGAAAAAAAAAAATATATATATATATAATTAATGATAGAAAAATCAAGTTTAGTTACAAAAAGTTCCATTTGTTGTTTTCCAGTATTCTCTTCCATCATACCATGTTGATATGTAATCATTTGAAGACTATGATATTGATAAAAATGATTTCCCGATGGTACAGTACGAGGACGCCAAACAGCTGTTTTTATATCATAAGTATACTGAAACAAGAAAACAAAAAAAAAGACTTAATTTCTTATGAATTAAAATTATTTAAAAAAACAAATTTTTACCAATGATAAAAACTTCCATCCATCGTTTGCAATAAATTCAATTGCATTTAAAATATAATCAACTTCTTCATCACTTGCAAAATATGATAAATTAAATCGGGTAAAACCAGGTTTCATTAATTCAATTTTAGGCATTTCATTAAGTCGACCACTAAAATTTATATGAATAATTTCTAAAAATTTATTTATTAAAACTTACTTTTCATCTGCTGTTATAAACTTCGTATAAATGTCTGCTGTTTGATCATCAATATTAAGTAGATCCTAAATTAAAAATAACAATACATTTTATTTAAAAAAACTGTTAGAACAATTCCCGTGCGATTAATATGTGGAAAATCATGTATAAGTTGTTATGAAAAATACAATAAAGAAGTGGTTCATATATTAGAACGAGATTGTATTGATACACGTTCTATGATCTTATATCAATAACGTCTGTAATGATTTGTGAGAGGAGGGAAAAGGAACAGATTTAAGCTTTTATCTCTATATTTCGAAACTCTTTTCAGACACTGTTTCACATATATACATACTATATAGTCACTGTTGTATATAATCTATACTCTCTCTCTTTGATTTAACAGACAAAATATATGTTAGCGTCCAATCT